TTTCCCTCAGTGGACACTGTATGAGGTGTAGCTATTTCTGTGAGCACAAATTCAGGAAGGAACGAACATTTTTTGTTTGTGACTGTGCATCGACTGTCCTCAGTGTAGTCTAGACCAGATGGCAGGGTGGGTAAGGCAGGTAACCAGAGCTACCTCAGCCTGCTGGGATAGCCTTCGCTGTGTTTGTATCCACTCAGTTTTGTTGAGGGCTAAAAAGAGAATGTAAAATAAAACATAAGATCTTTTTAAACTCACTGAAGTGGCTACAAATACTGTTCTGTACTCAATCTTCAAGAAAAACACCTGCTTGTTAACTACTGAAGTTACAGAAGATTTGTTGCTTGACTCAAGTGTAGTTGTAATAACCATGAATATCTGGGGAAAGTTCCTAGGGATAGTGCTTTGATAATGGTATAGAACTGTTCTTGAAATATGGACCTACTCTTACATCTTCCTTTGTGCTCCAAATCTCCAAGAATCATGTTTTTGCTTGTTCATTCTGACTCCAGAGTGTAACTGATATGCATGAAATAGAATATGCCTGAGCTTGGTAGTTCTTTTCTCTTTCCTCACTTGCCTGTTTTCATAATTGTACAGGTTCTTACCCTAACAGTTGGAAACAACCCCACGACCACCAACCCTTTCCCAGCAGTTGAGCCTGCTGTTGTGGAGTTCATCTGTGCTGTCCCTTCACAACTCACTTTGACTCCTGTTTGTGGAAGTCCTCAGTTTGATCTCTCCTGCCCTTGGCTGAAGCAAAACAAACAAGTGGTAAGCCTGAGGAGTGACAGGAAAATAATGTGGTTTTAAAACTTAAATATCACTGTTTGGACCTCCATATGCAAAATAAAGCATCTGGTTTGCTGCAAGATAAGCAGTAACTCTAGTGCTCTGGGACACACTGGTATCATGTTCTGCTTCTGCAGAGAGCAGTCTGAATGTGAGTGTCCTACACTGGTCAGACAGGTTTGTAAAGAGACTACCAGAAAATAGGAGCATATGTAAAAGGGTTTGGATCGTGGCTTCTCCCAAAAGTGTCATTGTGAGGAAGCCTTTCTGACTTGTTTTGAGATAAACTTGTTTTTATTAGAAAAAAAAGAAAAAAGGAGGGAGGGGAGAACTGTTTCCAGGGAGTGTTTCCAAGTAACGTGCTTTTTCC